ACTCTTCATGACAGTGTTACGTGCCGGACTGCAAAGAATTGTTGCTAAGAAGTCAAACTCCATGAATGCCAACCTAATTTATTTTCCCCTCATTTAAGACTACTGATAGATTTGTAAAAACTTAATTCAATTTAAGCTGGTCATTCAAAGTATTAAGGCGTCATTTCTATGAATGCTGCCAGATATTAGAAAGAAGATGAATAAATGCTGAATGAATAGGAAGAAAACAAATTACGTGTAATCAAGTAGCAATACACCCTAATAATATTTAGCAAACTTTGTGTGTTGCTAATACTCTAAAAATTGATTGTTAGGAAGATATGAATACTTCCTACACAATAAATAATGTGGACCAAATGCAAATCGAGCCAAAATGTCCCTATCAGTTGCCATGGAATGTCTGATGTCCTGGGAATTCTCAGAAAGGCTGATTTTAGAGGAATAACTGAAGCCACAATGAGAGGGTCATTACTTCTCTCCCTGTCTCCCTTCCTCCGTGCCCCTCCCTTGCTACCCAGTGGGATAACCCTCCAATATTTGCTGGTAAGAATTAGGATAACTGGATAAGAAAAATGAACTTACAACTAAAGATTTAATGTTAAAATGCATTACAACAAAACGTTTAAGTCAATTTCAGATCTGCAGCAGGCTTCCCGTCAACTATATAAAAGGGAAAAACTAAAAAACATTTTTATAACATTTGAACTTTCTGATTTTAAAAAAAGTGCATAAAGATGTTCAGATGTTCTTTTCTGGATTCTCCTTCATGTGTTACTTCATATAAATGCACATTTCTTATTCTGGTAAAGGCTTTAGATTTGTGTTGTAGAAAAGACTAGCATAAATTAAACTTGAAATTAAATTTCATTCCATAGGAAAGTTCTGATATAGTGATGTCACATTTTTTGGGTAGATTTATCTTCACCATGGATTATGCTTTAATATTGCAAATGCCAGAGGAAGATTTTATGTTACTTTAAATTCCAGAATAGTGTAGAGTAGGGCTGAGAATGGTACAGCTTTAATAAACAAAGGGAAATGAGTAATACATTAAAAGGGTAATAGAATTTTAATCTCACACACTCAGCGAGAAACGTCTGATTGGTTTTCCATCCTTTAAAGGGAATGCTTTCTTAAAAACAAAACAAAACAAAAACAAAACAAATCTTTATAGAGCAAAGCATTCAAACAGTAAGATTTTCAAAGGCACTTTTAAGATTATGATTGTGGGTGAAAAGACTTTGCGAAATTCATTAGTGAAATGATGCCATTTGTGCCAGCTGGGAAACATAGCAGCCATAACATTCAGTCAAGGTAGCATTGACCAGGATGCTGGTAATGTGTTAATTTTCATCAGAGACAGCAGTGGAAGGCAATTGGGCAGCAGAAAGGATTTAGCTATTTTTCATTAGCACTTAGACTTTGATAAAGGGGAATAGAAAAGAGCTGCTTGACCTTTCAGTACTTAAATTATTAAAGAGCAAATAGATTTGAGGTCTGGATGCTTGCAAATCTAATTTGTCTTGTGGAGCAAGGATGAAAAGACATTTGGGGTTTGAAATTGCTCCAGTCAACTTAGTGCTTTCTTTAATATATCTGAAGATGAGGAGATGGTAGCCATTTAAAAGTAATATGTCTGGAGGAGAGTGTATAATATAATGCACACCAGCTGGCTAAAAGGGAGGCCCATTAAATGATCATTTAATTCTCAAGTTTGCATCTCATCTTCATTAAAATACTGCTTTAAAATTTTTGGTTTTTTCAATCATATTTGCTTAAATGATATTTAAATTACAAAACAAAATTTCGTTTCATTAGAAATGTTTCATTAAAGTAGGACAATGCCTAGGATTAAGTAGATACTCAACACACATTTGTTGAATCATTATGTATAGGGACACCCACACATTATGTGTATTAATGACGTTGGGGAAAAGAGAGAGATGAGAGGTGAGAGGTGAAGGGGATAGAATGGGGAAGGAAGCAGAGGCACAGTATTTGATTCTCATTGGGCCTATTATTTAATTGTGGATTCTTGGGATAGATCTAAAATCTTACCCACATCCTCTTATCACTAAGCCTTTTTCTAAGCAGTTTCTTCCTCCATTAGCTGTAAATAAATATGAAATGATTTATCTCAGTAAAGCAAAGTGTATTTGTAAATATCACTGTGCTGTTTCCTACTGGCACATCTGCTGCTGTATAACATACCCATAAAGAAAAGTGGAATGACTTCTGGGTGATACGTATGTCCGGAGCTTCATTCTTCGTGTTCTAAGACACAAACGTGTCTAGCATGCAGTTCTCCTCTTGGAGTTCACACAAAACGATCATGCTCTGGCCTAGTAACTGTCCTCACAAAACGTGTGCTTTTGTGAATTTGAATCAGCAAGGATGTGAAGATGAAGGAACAAATCATGAATCCCAGAAAATGGATTTTATCATGGAGAGGGCACCTGTGTAGAAACAGAGTTCAGTGTCGTCGGGGAGGACAGCATGGCAGTGGTGCTGCTGAGGCCCAACAGGCTAAAGGAGTAGAAGCAGACGTTTGTGGCAAGAGAACCCAGGATTTCAGAGCTAAGAAAGGCCAGAAGGTGCTATGTTTGATTTTCATGTGGCTGAGTTAGAATTAGGAGAGAGCGCCTTGCGGGTACCGAGAGGTGAGAGGACAGTCGTGTGGGGTTGACACAAGGCAATGTACTGAAGTCTCTGCAGGGTACTAAGACTCATTCATAGTGCGGATACAGGTGGCGGAAGGGACAAAGTGCAGAGGTAACTTGGACATCTTACAATTGGATCTAAGAAAGGGATTCTTGACTCCTTAGCCACCCCAGGACAGCACTGGAATAAAATGGCCCTTTAACTCTAAACTTGAATGTTTTTTTCTCTTTGCCTTTTTGTTGTTGTTGTTTGTTGGTTTTTTTATTTCAAGGCAGAGTAAAGTGAGATAGAAAGCTACTATCTGCTGGTTCACTTTCCAGGTAGCTGCCACAGCCCGGACGGGGCCAGGCTCAAGTCTAGAGTCATGTACTCAATCCAGATCCCTGGTGTGGATGGACTCATGTACTTGGAACATGACGTGCTGCCTCCCAGGGTCTGCATTAGCAAAAATTAAAAGCCAGAGCTGAAAAGTGGCACTCCCATATGAAGCACACATGTCCAAACCAGTGTCTTCATGACTTGGGCAGTTGCCACCTCTGAGACCTCAGTTTTCTCATGAGTAAAATGGGAAAAAAAATGAAAATGTGTGCTCCTTACTTTTCCTCACATGTGTGTTCATCTGTCTGGGGTGTCCGATGTAGGGGTTCCCTAGAAGTTGGTTTTAAATGGAAAGTTTGAAAATTGTGTCACATAGCAGAAGAATGCTTGAAGGAAATCAGTGTTAAAATCAGGAGCAGGCATTTGTCCTAGTGGGTAGGATGCTCACATCCAGGTCTGAGTGCTGGGTTCAAGTCCTGGCTCCACTCCTAATTCTGGTTTCTGCTAATGGATACCCTGGAGAACAGGAAGCAGTGGCTCCAATAGTTGAATTCTTGCTATTCACGTGGAAGACACAAATTGAATCCCCACGTCCCAGCTTCCACCTGACCTGTCCACAGCCATTGCGCGCCTTTGAAGAATGAGTCACATAATGGTAGTTTGGGTATTCAAATAGAAAAACGGATGTTAGGGTTCTCTTCTGCAACATTCTTTTGGTTTTATGTCAGTCATTAAGATTAGCCATCCATGCCTTGCTGGAAGAAGTGCCACAGACTTCGCTGATATGTTTTTCAAAAAGAAGCTGAGGAGGCAAGGGAAAGATATCAAGGTCTGCTCTTCCTTTTTATGTGTTTCTGTGTCCTTGCAGGAGGAAGTTTCTTCCACATTTGGTGGAATAACTTGCATGGCTAATAGATCACCACTGATGTTGGGAAGGAAGTGTTGTGTTTTTGTAAATATATATTACCACTTATATCAACACTCATTACATCATCACACTAGATATTTGCTGAACTGTCTACTGAGCAAACACTCCTATGTTCTAAACAATTGATCTTTAGTTGGGCACCATTTCAGATTGAATGGTGGCATGCATCTAGTTCCTACATGTGTTAGGTGGTTCTTCTGCATACAGATTCTGAGTTCACACAGACAAGAACAGAGATGCATGGTAAACAGGGTTGGCAGGATGCCCCTTTTCTAGTACCTCTTGGATGATAGCATTGTTCCAGGGAATTGTAGCACTTTCCTGTCCATCAAATGTAAATATCTTAATTCTTTAAAAGCCCCTCAAGTTCAAGGCATCTCCCATTCCCCTAAGGTTACATCAAAATTCAGAACATATGCAGACTCCAGGTCCCCATTTGTCATGGGACCAACATTCTTGCTAGTATGTTTGGAAAGGGTCTTTTTCCATCCAAGGAGTCTTGGTTATGCTCTCCTCTGATGAATCACCTGTGACCCAAGGTCTTGGCTTGTGAGATTCTGTTCCCTTGCCTCTGCTTTCCTCTTTCCGCTGACCGAGGGAAGTGTGAGGCAATATGAGAAATCAGGGAAAGGTTAATGTGAGTTCTGTGCATTGTATCATATGACGTGGTGAAACTTCACATGTGGTCAGTCAAATATCACTGAACAAAATAACTTTTTAAAAAAATGAACTTACATGTAATTTCCTTTACCTGGTAAACAGAACTAATTGTATATGTAATTGATTTAATTACATGGCGGGAAAATATGTTACTGTACTGTTCATAAGCAACAGAGAGCATCATTTAGAGATACTCGAGTTTTATTTCTCCTGATACACTGTGTGAATGTGTGTGGGAGCATCCCAAGGAAGGCAGCCTCCTGTCCCCTTCAATAGGCAAGTGTTGAGTGAAGCTCTGTGAAGAACCGGGCATTTGCTATTGACCGCATGCCACATGCTCTTTATTGTGGACATCCTGGGCATCCTGTTTCAAAACAGACTGGTTCAACTCAGATAAAACAAAATGACATTGATAATCCTCTTTGATTTCTAGTGTCTATCAAATCGTTGTTGAGGAGGAACGTCCCCGAAGAACTAAAAAGACGACGGAAATCTTGAAGTGCTACCCAGTGCCTATTCACTTCCAGAACGCTTCCATACTGAACTCGCAGTACTACTTCGCTGCAGAGTTTCCAGCAGACAGCCTCCAAGCGGCTCAGCCTTTCACCATTGGTGATAATAAGACCTATAATGGATACTGGAACACTCCCCTGCTCCCCCATAAAAGCTACAGAATTTACTTCCAAGCTGCTAGCAGAGCCAATGGGGTAAGTTTCATAGATAATGTTACCTTTGGCTATTTGAGAACCTAGGGTAAGGAAGAAAGAAGAATAGAATCTTGGTTTTATGTGTTGTTTTCTTGTAAGCACTTTTTTTTCCTCCTTAAAATTATTTGATCTAAAAGACCTTATAGAAATAAAAGACTGTATCATCTTTGGAAAGATGGAAGTATATTGTTAGCGTGAAGAGGTTTTCTTTTTTTTCAGTTTCTTTCTTGTTACAAAATGTTGGCTAGCCATTTGTTTAGCTGATGGTTTCTCAGCAAGATGTTGTAGCTATGCAGAGCCATTGAACCCCAGTGGAGATACAGTGAGATTCAGAGCATCTGTCTTTCCTGCATTGTCCACAACTAGGGCTGTGACTCAATTAGATATCCTTTGAAGGTCTAGATGAAAACCATTCAGTCACTTTTGAACTCCAAAACCCCTTCCTGCGCAAACTGATCCAGAACTCTGATCAGCAGTTTTAAATCCTCGCTAGAGAGATGGAAACATGTTCCAGGTAGTTGCTGGCTTCTCTTCCATGCTGCACAGGGGCAGTTAGCTTTGTCAAACTGACTCTGACTGGAGGAGGCATCCCTCCTTCTCCAGAACTGCCTGCAGTGGAGCCAGGCTTGGTGTGAGGATGGGATCCGGGCATCAGATGAGTGTTTTGGTTTAGCTGCTTCCTCCTCACTGACTCAGAAGTTCCCAACATCCCTGCACTGGGCTCAGGAAAGGTTCTTGAGTGTCATTCAAAGGGTAATTGTGTGATTAAACCCACCCTGGGAAGAATTAGATCCTTACTTGTCTGTAATTTCACTGGACAACGGGAATGTTTGCTGTTTAAATAGAGCACAAGTAGTAATTTCTCTCTTCTTTATTTGACGCAGGAAACCAAAATAGACTGTGTGCGAGTGGCCACAAAAGGTAAGTTGAAATTGTGAGGTGTTCTCTTAGTTTATGTCTCTTACTTTATTTTAAGCCTCATTTCGTAACTTCTTAAAATATAACTTCTTTGGAATAAATGTCTGTGAATGTTTTATATATGTTTACATATATATGCGAGTGTCTATTAAGATCATAAGACAATTTCATATGGATGCCTTTTAAAATAAGAAGTGAAAGTACTGGGTTTCCAGAAGTTTAAAATGGTAATCTCTTAAAATATGCTTTTTTAAAATAAATTTTTTTATGTCAGTGCACATTTTTATGAAACCATAATACCATAGGATCATGTCTGCTGGTGCCATAGGTAGTGACTCTTCCTAATCAACGGAGTGAAAGATCACTGGCCAATTTTAAGTGATGATCTAGTTTTTACAGTGCTATACAATGACATCTACAGGGATTTTTGCACAATGCGTGTGCCTCTGAACCCAAGAGCCAGATGAACCTCTGTCTCCCAGGCCTGGCTGAGATTTTGAGAAAATATGACCAAGGCTGAGCTGTAGAAGGGGTGGGATGCATCACCGTAGGCTCTCACACCTCACCCCTTAGAGAAGAAGGTGCAGATGTGTGTCCATGTGTCTGAGCGGTAGCGTCTTGCCAACCTTACAGTGTTGCATTCACCATCACATATGGCTGCATAGGAGAAAATACATCAAGAGATTCTAACATGCTGTGTTAAAATGCGACATTATAAATTAACATTTGCAGTTAAACATACTCTTCCAGACCATGAGAGAAACCATGACTGTGGTAGAGAAGTTCTGTGTTACTTCATGTAGGAAGGACGGTGAAAAGGCAGCACTGGGTCTATGCATGAGCTTTTATCAGGCCATACCTGATGAGTTTTGTTGGATGAAAGTGTCTTTTAATTGCTCCTGAACTTATAGGTGACACAGTTTGAATAAACATTTTCAAGGTGCTCACTAGATTTTTGGTTTCAGGAAGACTTATGGCTTTTATGATTATTATTATCATTATTATTCAGTTCTAGCTCAGCTAGCGTTTTGTGGTTTGTTAGGTGTCACACATTGAATGAAGCCTTACCTCATTTCCATTTTTCTTTTCCTCACGAGATTATAGTTCCAGTTCCAAGAATCTTAGATAGATAGACAGACATTTTTAAAACTTCAACTGTGTATATCATGGCATACCTGATTAAATGCCCTAGTTTATAGAAGTATATGAATAATAAGTGAAAGTATGGCTGTTTCATAAGCTGCCATGCAGTAATATTAGACACTTGTTACAAAGTTCTTGGATATGAGATCCAGCTCATGGCCTGTACTCAAGAACAGAAAATGAAACAGTATAGGAATATATCCTCCTTACCCTTAAGGTCTCCAGCTGAGTTCTAGGGCTTCTGGTTTATAATACCTCAGGTTTAACATCACAGCTGCAAGCTCTGGAAGCACTTTGATATGTGCATTCTTATGTATTGACCACCACTATGAAAATGGATCAAGAGGAACTCTTACTCTTTTTTTTTTTAAGATTTATTTATTTTTACTGGAAAGGCAGATATACAGAGAGGAGGAGAGACAGAGAGGAAGATCTTCCGTCCGATGATTCACTCCCCAAACGGCCGCAACAGCTGGAGCTGAGCCAATCCAGAGCCAGGAGCCAGGAGCTCTTCTGGATCTCCCACGTGGGTGCAGGGTCCCAAGGCTTTGGGCCGTCCTCGACTGCTTTCCCAGGGCACAAGTAGGGAGCTGGATGGGAAGTGGGGCCTCCGGGATTAGAACCGGTGACCATATGGGATCCCGGTGTATACGAGGCGAGGACTTTAACCACTACACTATCACGCTGGGCCCTACTCTTATTTTTAAGATGAAGAAAATGCATATTCTTAGAGATGAATTGATTTACAAGGGTCACTCGGCTAATAGTCTGTTCATCCAAGGCTTGATCCCACTCATTTTGGTGCCTACCAGTGCTTCTTTCACCCAGCGAAAGCTCTGGCCAATGACAGGATTGTGTAGCGTAAGCATCTGGCCTCCCCTTTATTAGAATTGAGTCACTGCCCAATTTACTGTGAAAACGGTACAATATCTGTCATCATGCTTGTGGATAAATAATTATATAACTAACACTCTAGTAAATATGGAAACATGACAAGTTTGCTGTTTTCACAATAGATTGAATTAGAGGGTGATTTGGATCATTTTCTTCCATCAATATTGTAATTTGTTTTTTAATTCACCAAAAGATGATTAGGCAATCAGATGACCTGACTGACTCATTTTCCCTGCTCATATTTTCTGAGTCATTTGCAAACATTTACACAGTAAGGAGCTATCCAAATAACCTCTTTTGGGGGAAAGAAGGAAACGAGTTTTAATAGCCGCTGCATAGCATTGTCATATCTATTTCATAAAATCATAGAACGGGAGGAAGTCTTGGGAGATCATCTCCCTCCAGGCGAAATGAGACTGTTTTGTGCTGTTTGATTGGATTCTGTGGGGACAGATTCTGGAACCCTTGTTCAAGGTACAGTCTATTGCTTCACCACCTTATTATTATTCATCCAGAAATTCTTGTGCAGCGTGAGACACCATGCTGCCTTGGCTGCTTCATCCGAACAGAGACAGGGAGATCTCATGACCATTGGTTTCATGGAGAAAGGCTGCTTTAGTCCAAGTCCAGATATTCTGAATGTATATGGCCACCTTTTTTATTTCTGACAATGTAGTGGCTTAATTGGGTTTTCAGATTCTAAACTGCTTTTCTAAGCAGTGCTTTCAATTATAAAAGATTTAGTGTTCTCATGGAACAACTGTTGACAAGTATCTTTATAGAAAAGCTATGGGGGTGGGTTTGTTTTCACAAAGAGCTGCTTTGTAGTTTCAAGCGAGGGTATGTGTTAAAATATATATACTTCATTCTATTTATAAAGTTAATAATGTGATTATTTTCATTATCTAAAAGTATATTTTGACATTCATCATCTCAAATATAAGGCTACGTAAAATTAGACACAGCAAAATACCTGCAAGGTACTATTGTGTTTCTTGAAACATGTGAGGGGGGTCCCTGTATTTTCACACAGCCCGTTAACTTGTACCTGGATAGATTGTGCCCCATAGTAACAAGTGGTCACCACTTGGTTATATACTACAGGCAAAGTCATCTTGCATTGAAAGGTAAAGATGCCCTGCAGTGCTTGGGTATTGTCCTTCCAACTCAAAGGATTCCTCTTAAACTGCACAGCGGGGCTGGAGGAGCTTCTAACTGCTCTCAGTCCTCCAACATTTTGTTTTAATCACACGCACAGCTGATAGCTGGATTCTTGTGGTGACCACCTGGGTCAGCTGTGTGTTGATAATTCCTGTGTATTTTTGCTGATGTTTAGATTATGACTACCTTGTGGTAACTGATAGGATAGAAACTCTGTTTTTACATTTTCACATTAATGTGACAGGTAATACTTTTATAAAGGTATGAGGTTTAATGTGGAAACTCTCATGCTAGCTTTTGAAGGCTTGTCGATTGATTCTAAACTTAAGTCTATACTTAAAAATCAAAATCTGTTCGGTAGATTAGTGTGCATTACATGTCTTATTTAATAAGATACATTCATTCTAATGATTATAACATTCAGTTTGAACTCTATACATTATAATTTGGATTGATGTTCCACCAGATGATGTTTTCCATAATATGACATCACCTGTGTTTCCTTGCCACAACCTAACTTCACAGAGGCTTTCCTATTTTAAAAATTTCATATTTAATAATTATTTGAATAATACTCTACTGTTATGTGTATTCTATAAGACTTCCAACTACAGCTATGCAGATATTATAATTTACATTTTGAAGATTTTGAGCTCATAAAAAGTGTTTTGTTTGTTTTGTTTCTGATGTGCCAGGGTTGCTTGCATATGATCATGTGTTCCTCTTCAAGTTATCGCTTGGCTAACAGCAGTATAACTAAATATAAAAACAGAAACTTCTTGGAAACACATGCTAAATTCTTCCTAAATCGTTAGCCAAGTGAGAGGATAAGACTTAAATAAACAAGAAAACAGGCCGTTATTCCACCATTGTATTTTTAAGTAGTTATCTATGAAAACGTGCTTCACTGGAAGGGTAGTATTTTATTTAATTTACGTTTGTTCTGGGCTGTGAATATGCTTTGCTGCAAGAAGACCTTGAGGAAACTTTGAAGGATTTCTATTGTTCTGATGCAATTTGTAACTATATTCAGAAATTGGAATGTTTCTTTTTTTAATCCCTAGGCTCTTATAGGGTTTCTCTAGGCTGTTTTTCCTTTCACTGTTTTGTGCAAAGAAATACCATCCTTTCTAGGCCATAATGCATCCGAATGAAAGTGTGCAGATAAAAGAATTGAAAAGAATGTCTGCTGAGATGTAAAGCTCATTAAGATTCCTTTAATTACTCACATTCAGTACATGAGAAAACACATTCTATAGTAAGACCACTCAGCTATGTTAATCTGCTATTATTTAGGCTATGGATTTACAAAACAGGAACATTTATATTCATCATTCAGCATTGTTTAGAGAAAGTATTTTCTCCTTGATGTGACATAGTCTTCACAGTGTACCTTGTGAATACACTAAAGCTCCCTCAGAAAAGTCCCAAAGAGAAGAAACCTGAAAAGAACCCATGCTCCCCGATTTGACTGACCCAAACTTATTTTTCCAAGAACACTGGAGACATGCAAATCACAGTCAGGTAAATGCTGCTTCAACACATTCCTGAAGATTCTTCTCTGTGCACCTGAAGTAACACTTTACAAGGTCTAGTCCCGATTTCAGAGAGGTTCTAACTTTCCACCCCCAGATACCATGTGTAGGGTTGGAATTTCACTGATAACTTCACAGTCAGGGACAGCACACTTCTCACACTCAAGTCCAGGTAATAAATATGTTAGTCTTTGTTGCCACATGGTTTCTCCCACAGATACTCCACCATGCTACTGCTGAACCTGCAGAAACAATTCAACTGATAAAACTTTATTTGAAAAAGCATGTTGTGGGCCTACTGACCCGTTGTAAGGTAGTTTGTCGTATAATCATGTTTAGTTTTTCAGAGCTAAAAGTAAGAACCACAGACATTGCACAAGGTAGAGCCCAGGGATCATTTAAAAATTCTTCCTGATATTCCTGATGTCCTGTTTTCATGGTAATGGTAGCCTGATAGTAATTAGGCTTCTTTTTACTTGCAAATATGTAGCTTCCCAGCATAGCTGCCTTCAAGAACTGTCTTCATAGTCTTATATAGGCACTCTGCTTTCTTGTAAAATGATGCCATTTTTTCTCAAATGGGTCAGTCAAAAAAAATGCATAGGTCTACTGGGCCAGCGCCTCCTATAACCAGGACCAAATACTCCAGATGCACAACTTCAGCTGGCATCAAGTATGTAGCAATCCTTAGAAATAACATTTTACTGTTCACAACTGCTATCAGTATGAAGACTTGCAGAAAATGTCACATTAAGGCAGTTTCTTTATAATACATTGGGGACTCTCCATTGTGTGACCAAACTATTGGTTTGTTCATCTCCCCTGGCAAAACTTGGGATGTTTCATTAATACTATGTGAAAGACAGTTTCACCATTTTAAGACTGAGTTGCTGCAGTTGTGTAGTTATAAGGAGCAGCACCGTTTGAATGATGCAGAAGGATATTTCAAAATATTATGCAGCAGCAGTTTCGGGTTTAATTGTCTGCAGATGGTAGATGATCTATTTTCCTTACTCGCTGCCACATTTCTAATAGCACCCAGGCTGTTCCATGTAAATTAGTAATCTTTCATGCAAGCCTGTCCTTAATTTTCCAATATTTTTTCTTTGCATCATTTTCCAGCTGTATCATGTTACAACTGACGTTTTAATTTTGTATTTTTTTCAATATCTGTGTGTCATAAATGTTAACTACTTACATGCAACTGCTGAGCTCTGCAGGCAAGCCCAGGTCATCTGGTCCACCTCAACTATACTAATCATTTCTTTGGTCATATATCAATCAGGACAACTGTAGCAAAAAAAAAAAAAAAAAGAATACATCTTAGATTGTATTTTAAATTAAGATGTATTTTTATAATTTTTTCATGTAAAGAAATATTGTTACCAATGGAAATCTTTATGAAATGTATTTATCAGAGAAATTGCTCTCTATAAAAATCTTTCTAATGAGAAGGATACCGTTCTTAACATTGATGATACCAGCAAAAGAGAAAATACTGTGAATTTGCCAATAGAATTTTAAATAACCTAATACATTTTCAGAGCCTAATGTTAAAAATCATCAGGATCAGTGAAAAATCTTTATAGGTCGTGGTCAAGTACAGTGGAAACACCCACAAATTTTCAACTTAGAGCTAACAATTTTGGTTTTGTATTATTTAATTTTTCTTTTTCTTCTTCCCTTGATCTGTCTGAAACTTTAGCCAAAGCTTGCAATTGGGTCACAGTTAGAAAGCCTACTGCATGACTAGGGCTTGTTCAAGAGAAAAGAATTTAGAAAATTCAACACCTGGCTATGTTTTTTTTTTTAATTTTTAATTTTTTTCGCCCTTTCCTTTTTGTTGTTGTTGGAACAAAGTTGAGACGGTTTGATATACTGATGGGATTCTTCTTGCTAGCCTAGCTTCAGTCTGGCTTTTTTTTCCCTCATGCATGCTGACCTGGAAATCCTCTTTGCCTTAGCTGCGATAATCGTGACTCAGCTTACAACACCTTACATTCGCATCGCCCCTGCTGCAGGCGACGGCCAACTAACAGGTCAGACGTTCAAGTCTAGATGAGTCATCTTGCCCATTTCCTGCTCATTTTTCTCAGCTTTGTTTCCCCTCTACATCTCCTCCTTTGCTTAAGGCCTGTTGATCATGCTTCAGACCCTTGCTTCAGAGTTGTGCTCATACTGAATTCGATAATATGCCTGGCCTCTTCTCTGTGCACATGTGTGTCCTTGCATCAAGTATGACTCCACTGCATGTTTTCATTGTGTGTCTGGTCTGTTAATCTGTTTCTTTCTAGCCTAATGCGATACAGAGGTGAAATTTGCTGGACCTGCAATAGCACTAACATCAATTTACAGCATTCTAGACAATATAAAGATGTAGCCCCAGTTTTCCAAATTCATATAAAAAGGCCTTGAGATTTGGGGGTGAGAGGGGTTTGTTTTTCATCTTGCAGAGTTTAGTTGGCACTTGCATTCCGCAGTACACAATCTTGTCTGCCAGTGTTATTAAATAATCTACCCAAAGCTGTTTAGGGTGACACTGTTCAAATAGCTTTTTATGTCCGTACAATTGTTGCAAGCTTATTGTATTCCTTATTGATCTTTTTTTCAAAGCAAAACATTCTTTTATAAAGCAGTGGCATATCTGCAAGTCAAATGCATTGAATAATTTAGCAAAGTTTAGAAAAATTGAATGACTTAAAATCATGAATATGAACTGTGTGCTGCCTCATACCTCAAGAAATTATAGTATTTTGAAAAGTTCATGGAAATACAGAATTCAAAGATAGGTCTGTGGGTCAAGTGTCTGGCAAGTAGTTAAAATGCCAGTTAAGGCTTCCACCCCCATCCCACACTGGAGTACATCTCCTGTTCCTGATTCCAGCTTCCTGCTGATGCAGACTCTGGGAAGTAGCGGGAATGGTTCAGGTCATTGGATTCCTGTGACCGGTGTAGGAAATTAGGCTTGCATTCCTGACGTTAGCCCATGCTCAACCCTCCCTTTTGTGAGCAACTGGGAGTCAGTGGGTCAGAGTACTACTTCTCTATTTCTATCTCTATTGCTCTCAAAAAAATGAAAAAAAAAAGAGGGGGATACATTTATCTTGGTGAAAAACACTTGAAGTTCACAAATAAAAAGATATGATTTAAGTAATCATAAATAAATGGATTATAAAAACTGTAATGTGGATTTTTCATTAATTTCTTTTAGCTACTTTCATTAATTTCTTTTAGCTACATGAATTTTAAAGTTTTTATACCAGAATTAGCTTATCTTTTGATTCTATCTTTCCATGAACTTTTTGGAGTATCCTTTTGTATCAAGAGAAATTAACTTGCTCACTCTTACCGCCACTGAAAATATTGTTACCTCTGTAAACTCAAATAGAATCCAGTAAATTACTATAGATTGAAAAAAAGATCACTACAGATTGAAGGTGAGTAGTTAGTGTACTCCAGAAGATAAACTTTGTTTTCCTGCAACAAAAGCAAATTATTGTCAAGATTTCCAATATTAATTATGGGGACAGGGTTCACAATTCTGGTTTCAGAAAGTCTATTGATGTAACTTACTGCATGTAGTTTAGGCAAAATTAAAGTCAAGTAAACAATGTACAATTACTTTCCATATAATGTCTGATCCAGCAGGTATGTGTGTTTGTAACTAGAAAATATTCCCTAATATTAAAAAAAAATGATAAAGCTTAATTTCTGGTAAGAAGTGATCGATATTAGGGTAGTACTGTGAGTTCACAGTTTTAGACCATGAAACAACTGAGACTTGGGAAAATTACAGACTGCATTTATAAGGGTGAGCAAATGTAGAATAAGTCTTTTTCCCTCTCCACTGGTATTCTACACATGTTCTTGTTCCTCTGTTTCAGAGCCTAAACTTCACGTTTGCTGACCGTTCTATTTCCCTAGCTTTTAAATTTGTTTTGAGTACTTACCTTTTACTGATTGAAGTTGTGCTTGCTACCCCAATAAACGTGCTTGAGGTATGGTGTCTCAGCATAAGTCCTCCCACTTAAAAACTTAATGTTTAGGAATTGGCCTATGGTACTCTGTGTGGGAATATGTGCCCATCTTAAAATTTTATCTGGGATCCTTGGTCTGTGCCCCCCATTATGTCTGAGCTAGCCATAGACTCATCAGTAACCCTGAGAAGTGAATTGTCCCCATCCTCTTAGAACAAATACAACTGCCTATCCCCTTTATCAAGCTTTGCCTGTAATCTACTTGCAGCTTCTGAGCATGAATAGGGAACCTTTTATGGGTCAAGAGCCTCAGGAGTACTTTCAGCATTATTTGTAAACCATCCAAATTATGAACTGAAAAAATTAGCTTTCTATAGATTTGTTGAATTTCCAGTCCACCAGCGTTTATCTCAGCAGGGATAGACCAAATGATGTAGGGGATCTCAGGCCAAACATTCTCTACGCCACGTTAGTAGACCTTTCTCTTGAAAGCTTGCATGATTACAAAGAATCCCCTTAAAGTAGCCCCGTTCACATGGCTTTTGGCTCCACTAAGTGTTGGTACTTTGGCTCTGGTCATTGCCGCTATGTATATGGGGCAACCATTCTCCCAAGGACTGAAGGGTACCAGTATTGAGGAGTTGGTTTGTTAGAGATGATACTGATTGGAGAGTCGGCCTCAGACATTGGTAAATGCCTGCTCTTGCTCTTTCCTTACTGCTGGTTTCAGTGCTGGTCAATCTGACTCAGATTAATTCACACTTAAGTCACATTGATTTCACATTTTCTATTTGTCTCAGTCATCAGCCTACTTCATTTTTTAAATTCATGATTGAGACTGCACATCTGAATCTTAGTTCAGTCAGCCATTTTTTACATTAATTAAGCACCTTCTGTGTGCCAGGTCTGGATTTACTAACTTTAACTAACTAACTAACTCACGGTATCTAACTATCACATTAGCATCAGATCTGTTTGCACTCAGATCACAAGCAGCATGTACACATCCTCTTATAAATTAAAGAAATGAGTGCTACACTGCTTGTTTAGTGCAGACAGCAGTGTTTTTAACTCATGGGAAACAAGGACATTTGTTTCAAAACTTTCTCCGCTGAGGAAATGCCCATAGAAAGTGTTCTGAATATTCCTGTGTGACACAACAGACAATTCTAGTTTTGCTTGCTAGATCAATCCCATCTCTTCTAGAAGCCAACAAGAAATACAGAATGAGTATATTGGGTATATTCAGAAGTGTGTTCAGGTCTTTCATTCATTTTGTTTTAATTGTGCTAATTAAATCAAGCACCTGCACATGCCATTTGATGCTTCGCTTACGTTGGGAAGCTTGCATTGGCTTCCCAATGCAATTGCATTGTGAGTCCTTTGTGTGATTGCTGCTATTATGCCAGCAAATGGTGCCTAGTTCGTTTGGCCTCCATGTGAGTAGAATCTCTTGAGCTTGTCCAATACTAAGAAAACATGCCCCTTGATGCCTTGATGCCCACACTGAGCCCTGTGCTGGGTGCCAGTGAACATGCTCATATATAACTCTTGGTTGAGGTGGTTGAATGAATGAATGGCCTGGATGCCATGATGGTTCCATGGAAGGACCTCTGCCCATAGAATGTATGTATGTTAAAAAGAACTGCAATAGCTATTTATTAGTTTAATTTCTGTTTCCCTATTTCTGTTTCCAAAAACAATAACAAAAAGAAAACAGTCCCCATACACTAGAGTTAGGAGATTGTGAAAGGGATCAGAATATTGTATCAAAATCAAAGTCTCATTCACCTAAAACTCCTACTAGAGAGAGTGAGCACAGAGAAAGTTCTAGAAAATGACATTGTTTATAGCCTATGGCTTATTCTCTCTACCTTCTGTTCCACTATAGAGAGTTAGTCATAGGGAGAAAAGAGAAAGCTGTACACAGAAGAAATTTTACTTTAAGAGGCTTAAAATTAATTTTATAAATTCAAGCTTCTTAATTCATATTAAGATCTTTCTGTTTTTGATTAAATAACCCAGCCAACGCTGAGATACTATAGAGAATGATTTCTTTATGCAAAATTTCATCAACCATTTCATTTAACCATGCATCTAATATGATAAGATCTGTAGCTTGGAGTATTTATAAACAAGAGACTCCTGGGATTCAAGTACAAAAGAGATATCATGTATAATTTCTTGCTAGATGCAATAAATACTTCAGAGAGAAATAGTTATTCAACAGCTAGTCAACAGTTATTCCCACATAAAGTTTCAGGTTTGGAAAAATGTGCATGGAGCACATTCCTGTACTGTGAAAGATGAAATACAGGCAGAAATTATTAAGGGTAGTGAAAGCAGGTTTGCTTAGTGACTGCTAACAATGGGGTTAGGAGTTGAGCTCTGAGTGTCTCAGATATACATGAGCCTTTTCAAAGAAGGATAAAAAGGGGCAAGTCTGCAGGAAGGGGTTTGGTGGATCTCCTAGCTGACCTTCCAGGAGCCCAAGCAGTCTTGGAAAAAAATCCTAAGGGATTTCTTTTTTTTTATCCTTCACATGGCTCTTAAAGCAAATATAAGGATATTTCAAAAAGTTAGTGTTACAGAGAAAAAAAAAAAAACTTCTCAACTTTCAAAAATTGTTTGCACCCAAATAAACATTGTTTGGTTCATTTTCCATGAACTTTCGGAAGTGCTCTTTTAGAGAGAAGGTGCTTTGTTTTTTGTTTGTTTTGTTTTGTCTTTTAAATCACTGAATACCCTCTGAGAGGAAAGAGGGTGCAGAATTTACAGAGAAGGTCCTGTGCTCAGATTCTGTGCCAGAGCCAGCCACCTGTGTTCTTCCCTGATCGTGGCCGGTGGGAGGGAGACATGGCATTGCATTTCTCTGCTGTGCATAGCATGCTTACCAAGATAAGACTCACCTCCACGGGTCCCACAGATCACACAGCGAGTTGCATAGTGGCATCACTGTGCTGGGAGCCCTAGGTCCCTCCAGCTCGGGACAGGTTGGACCCCCATGTAGACAGCCTCTCCTGGACCCTACAGGCCTCAGCAGATGCCCACACATATTCTGA